CATGAGCAATAATAGCTTACCACTAGTTTCAATCTAAATAAGCAGGTAGCAAATTAGCAATTAATGCTTTTTTTTGTTTGTCACAGTTCTTTCTTCCCACAAAACCACCTCCATGAAATCACAGGATCAAAATAAATCTCCTGCAATCTCATAATCCCAATTCCTCCTAACCTTTTTCTATACAAAACAGTCCAACCTCAACAATGTGTCAACAAGGCAAAGACGAGAAGAAAAAAGCTGTCATTTTTTTTTTTGGGGGTTTTGTTAATCCTTCTCAAATCATCTGGGTAGTGTCTGTTTTGATGTTGGGAGTATAAGGAAAGATTGTGGGTGGGTTTTTAACTTTTGGGGCTTTTGATCAATCTGAATGAGTCAAAACCGCGATTTCTTTCTCTTGTTTCTTCTTCAAATGTCTCTGTGCGGTTGCTGTCACAATCTTTACGAAGAAGTTGAGGATCATGAGCCACACTATCCCGTTCCAGATCGTTGCAAAAGAAAAATCCCATTTGTTCACCTACCCACGCAAATTCAATTGAAGATTTGTTACAACAAAAGCCTGAATCTCATGAAGATGCTAGTGAAAAATTTAAGTTACTAATGCGTAAAGTTTCTCAAGAACGGAAAATTGTTTTGTTGTTTACCTTGATATGAGATGGAACAGGAGGTGGTGCATCAATATACTTCTCTTTCATGGCGTGAAGTTTGGCTGTGAGTCCAGGCAACACAGAAGCCAAACCGGGGACGTGGCTAAGTATCCAGATTAGCTCGTTCTCCATCCAATCAAGCAGTTGGTTATTACATACGCAGATGATAAAGATCGTCTTCATGAAAGAATAAAACAAAGTTAAAACCATTTAGCTATTATAACAGGTCCAGAGGGTAAAATCAATTCTATGAGACACGAGGTTCCGCACCTGTATGTGAGTTTTGATGATCGCCTTTCCGATTAAAGTTGCCAGAAAGAATTCCCAAAACTGAATCCCGAATTGTCCACACATTATTCCAGCAAGGTCAAACAAAGGATTTGGGACCTGCACTCAAATAGATTCAATGGGTAATGGTAAATCCTAGTTCAAAGTGTTGACCAAGATGCCAATAAAGTAAGGTCCCGATCATAGAATGTGGTTCCCAAAAGTACTACATAATTGAAAAGTAAATTGGAGAATGTATACTCACCGAAGCAAGAACCAAGACAGTAAAGAAATTCAAGTGCTGCGAATGGGTTAATAGCCAACGCTTAATCCGGTTCAGGTAAGTCGCCATAAATCCGCTGTCCTCAGATGAGGAACCATCTAATTCTTCCATGCCATCCACTCTGCTCCCAGAAATACTTGCTGGAAAAAATATATGGAAAGCCAAAACGAAGTAAACAATCGAATTCTCTGTACACACATTGGCAAAATATCCGTCTAGTTTTCCGTCCTTAGGTTGATAAGTATAGAGAGGAGAAATATATGAACCTGCTCTTGAGATGAAATACGGAGGAAGCTCCCCGAGAGCTGTCCCGATACCCCATAAAATCGCCTCCAATTGGATTTGTGGCAATATACTAGTAAGGGGAACACGAGATCCAGCAGCTGATATCATTAAAGGAGGACCAAACTCTGAACAAGATTTGTCAAGCCACGAGGGAACCCGTTTCAACTGTATTGTATCATACGGTGCAGATTTTAGATCAACCCGGCCACAATGCGTTGCTTTTAGAGTAAACAAAGCAATGTGTGGACCCAAATAGAGAACAAAAGTATGAAGACCAGATCCTATACAAGAAAAGAAAACAGTTAAATCCGAAAAGATTACGTCTTTTGTGTTGACATTGACAAGCAATTTTGTGTGACTAACCAAGACCAATAGAAGAAGCTACACCAAGTGCTATCCACCATAAGCTATATCGGACATACTCCAATACTTCTTCAACATGCTGAATGAACCAAAAAATGCACAATTTTACGGCGAAAAAACAAACAATCCGGGCAAGTCTAGAATTTGAATTTAGAAAGCCGAAAAGAGTTTTACCTTCCCATGAGGTCCATCAACAGTTACAAGCAAAACTCCAAATCCAACTAACAAAGTGGTTATAAGCATGAACCAACCTCCATGAGCTAGCAGATACGATATCGATCGCTTAATGTATAGAACAGTAGCTTCAACAAACAACTTCAATGTATTGAAAGGTTGTGTCGTCAATGTTAGATTCTCTACTTCCTTCTCATGCTTCTCACGCAAAGCTACAGGTTTTTCAACACAAGACCCACAAATGTAAGTCTCTTAATTTCATCTAATTTGATTATCTGAAAATCTAACCCCAATAAAACTAAATCTATGATTCAGATCTTGAAACTATAACCAAGCTTCTAATAATCCCTATTTTTCTTCCCAGATCGGAACGGATTTGGGATAAAAATCTAATGAATGATTAAATCAAAGGATCAAAAACGAAAAACCTAAGAACCAATAAAGGAAGAAACTTGCCTGAGATCGCAACATCAGAAGAAGAACCCATGTTTCTCTCTGTGTGGTATCTAATTGCTTCACCAACTACAATAACTATGTCTCAACAGGTAAAAGGAAGGATTTTGAACATGGATTCGAATGTTTTTAAGGATATCAGAACATGGGTTGGGTCTAATTTGAGATGGGCAGTCAGAGAAAAAACAGATTTGCTTGAAACAAAAAAACGATTTTTTGCCGATCTTATTATAAAAAGAATTGATTTTTTTGTTCTTCTTTGTAACGTGACGTGTGGGCTTTGGTTGAGATAAACCAACGGAATACAGACCGAGAGATCTGGTCTTTGTAGAAGACATTCAGATACGTAATGTAATAAGAGATTCGAAACCAAACGCAAACGAAAAGTTTACTGAGTTTGGTAAAAAAACGCAGATAAAGGCCCATTACGCTCTGACCGGTTAAACCGGTTATCTGAAAGTTAAATCAGAAACCAATTTCATTCAAAAGTCAAAACCAAGGAAAAACTTTGGTCACAAAGTTGTCACGACGAGAATTGGACCAAATATAAAAACCGATTAGTTCAGTGTTTAACTGTTTTACTGACATTAAAAGCATTATTGTAACTAGAGTTCATGTTATGTTATGCGTACAAAAGTATATAATATTTTATGAAATTGTGGTTTTTGTGTCAACGATCAATGTAATAAATTATTCAAAGCAAATCTTGGCTCCGCAATTTGGTTGTTTGATTAGGATCTTCGAAAACGTAGCTGGACAAACTTCTAAAACTTCAAATGAACAGTAAATAATTAAATATAATTAAAGTTTGATTTGGAATCTTAGAGTTTTCTTGATAACCTCTCTACTCTAGCAGCCAAAAAAATATTTTCTTTTAAGGGTTAATTCATCTAATACCCAAATTCAAAACTATAATGAAGCAAATGACCATGTAATAAATTTAATGAGGTGTTTACCCAAATCAAAATTACCCTCTACACGTGAGAGAGATGGGTGATGTCAGCCAAATCTCCTTCCTTCTCTTTGCGCCGAGGAGAGAGCACATAAGACCATCGGCATTCGTCATGGATGTCTTTAAATAAACAAATATTAAAAACATACTCTCTCTTCTTTTTACTCAACTTTATATCTTTTCTTTCATTCTTTTACTCAACTTTTATTAATTTTATATTTAAACACTCATATTCTCTCTCCAAAAGTCACTATTTATGTCTTTCTAAAGACACAATCTCTCCAACAATATCCACTATCTCCTCTTTTTACTCAAATTTTATTAATTTTATATTTCAATACACCCCATTATTTCAACCAAAAACACTTTTTTCTTCCTTTTACTCAAATTTTAATAATTTTATATTTAAAGATATCCACATTTGTCTCTAATGCGGATGCTCTAGCAAACCTTACAACAACAGAAAAAATGAAATGAAGGAATTATTTTGTGTGGTTGTGAGTAAGCAACGTGGGATCAGCTTCAGTTTTCTTGTGCTTTCATTGAGGACTTTTTGGTCCATATATACATATTACACCTCACATATTTTTTTATACAGTAAATTTGGTTACTTCCTTTATATATTTTTTTTTTCTGTGCTATTATTGCTAATTTTCCTTCTTTTAATTGTTATCAATAAGAAGTA